CTGTGTGTACACAGAAATATACATTTGTAGGTGCTAAATCCATACTGATCAGCTTATCTGGACACACAGGCCTCAGGTACAAACAGCAGCAGCACTTGGCCTCCCTGGTCTGCGGATCAGCACACGCAGGAGCCTCTGCCCTCCTTTCCACCCAGTGCTCTGGGCAGCGAGCGTGGAGCATCCCTGGGCTGGAGCCCGGGGCTGCACCTCTGATTCACCTGCCCAGCCTGCGAGGAGGGGGCGAGGGAGGGATCAGATGGGGTGTTAGAAATCTCTGATTAGCTGGAGTCCCACTGCACATTACCAAAGGTTCCAATATTTTGCCTTTCAGCGCTGTCAGTCGCCCCCAGTAACCTGTGGGAGTTGAGGAATTTCAGCACCTCGGCAGATTAAGCCTCCAGAGCAAAGCTGTCACCCGGGTCTTTGTCATGCAAACTTGAGGCCAGGTTCAATAACATCCTGTTCCTCTTCTGCATTGCGGAAGCCTTGAAAATTGATTTTCTGTTTTGCCACTGAGTTCAGTGGAACCACACTTCAGCCCTCCAAGGGAATTGTATTCCTGTAGATTGTAGCTACTTCTGAAATCCTTAATTTCACATCTTTAAATAGCAAACTTTGTGACAGACCAGGTGTGGGTGCAAACTTTGCTGGATGTTGTTGACCACTGCTGGGTTATTAACTCTCTTTATGGTCTGGGATACCCTTTTTTTTTCCCCTTTCAAAATGCATTTCACAGACTTGAAGTCCTAATCCAAAATGCACAGGAATAAATACAAATTTGTGTATTGATCACCAGAAAAGGATTTTTAAGGGAGTTGATCACTGCTTATAGCAGGAATGCACGTTTAAAAGAAACAAGAACTGTAACATTAATCCAGGGAAAACAGTTTCTGAAGCAACCAGAGCTTGTTAACACAGCCAACACCTAAGGCAGCATTGTGTCTTTAAGCTCTACTAATATTGAACAATAATAATTTTGGTGGAGGAAAATCTTCCCCTCTCCCTGAACAGAAACAAGACAGATTATTGACTGCCATCTAGAAAGATGGATGCTGTGGCCCTCGGAGTCTATTAATATTTGATGCTGATGGATGTGAGCTGGCAGCCTGAGATATTAATGGAGTTTGGTTCCTTGGACCTCACCCTCCATCCATGGGGGAGAATTAACCATAACAATAACTGGATGCCCAAAGCTCTCAGGGTGCTGGGAAGGGCTGTCAGTTCCAGCAAAAATGGGTGTTTGTGAAGTGTTTACAGGCATGGAAAGTCATAGGTGGGGCTGCTTAGGTCACTGCTACCATCTACTCTGATTTCAAGGGGACTTTTAGGGTCCCAGGAATTGTAGCTCCCTCCTCTATCTTTGCCATGTTAGCATGCTCCCCTCAGGTCTGGATTTCAAACAAGAAGAGGCTCAGAGGTAATTTCTGAGCAGGGGTGAGGTGTGGGACACTCTGTCCTTGGTGGCACTGAGGTGGCCTCTCCCAGGCTGGGGTGATGCAGAGCAGAGAGCAGGAATGTGCTGCTCCACATAGAGCAGGGCATTTCCCACAGCTGGCCCTGACCCCACATTGCCTAAAGAGATTTTCCATTGTTTATGTTAAAGTCAGATTTGACCCCTGAAATTAGAAACAATCCAGTGGATAGATTTGGGGGCCTATTTTTATAAGCTGGCCCTTCTAAGTGAAAATATTGAAAATGAAACACCTTTGAAGGTTTGTGGTGTCCATATGGGTCATTCTGATTTGGAACATAGAGATGGAGAATACCAAGTTATTTATAGCTCAATTTCCTAATATAGCTTTAACATTTCCAGGGGTATATGTTTGATTGAATTAGCTACTCCTTCCTAGCATGGATACCACATCCAGGCATTGCACTATCCTCATTAACCTCCCAATCTTAATAGAAAAAAAAAAAAGAATAATCAACATAAGGAGCACAGCTGTTGATTAATTTTACTAAATAGGATAGAAATATAAAGTACCATATTGCAAGAGTGAAGATTCAATACACACAATTTGAAATCAGTTTATTAGAATATATAACTCATTACCAGCTGGATGCATACACTGCAGCATTATCCACTTGGGCAGGTGGTGAGAGGCAGGTGGAATTTACATATCTTTAACAGTACCTGAATGCATTTCACTTCAGAGGTCATTCTCCCAAATCAAGTTCAAAATGTTAATAACGAGTTGTGCATTTATAATTAATAAAATCTTAGAGCCAGTGCTATAGTTCAAGTGCATTTTCCTCTTATGTAATTAAGAAGTTAAGTGTATTTGGCAGTTGTCACTCAGAGAGCTCTGAAGGTCTCACTTGTCAAACCTGGGGATAGAAATCTCATTAAACCAGGTATTTTTTTTTCAGTTAAGGTTTGTTTGCAAAGTACGTGAGTGGATGGTGGGCAGCTAGAATGCCCAGCTCTGTCAGTCCATAAAGCCAAGTCCATTAAAGTAAATGCCAGCACTCAAAGGCTTGGAACAAACAGCCTGATGTTCACCTTGTGAGAATCACAGAATCCTTAAGGTTGGAAAAGGCCTCAAAGACCACCAAGTCCAACCATCAACCAGCACCACCACTGTGTTCACCACTAAATCATGTCCTCAAGTAACACATCCACAGGTTTTTTTAAGATTTCAGGAATGGTGATTCCACCACTTCCCTGGACAGCCTCTTCCAATGCTGGACAGCCCTTCCTGTGAAGAAATTTTCCCTAATATCCAATCTAAATCTCCCCTGGTGCAACTTGAGGCCATTTCCTCACCTTATTGTCCTGTGACTTGTTACCTTAGAGAAGAGACTGACACCCACCTCCCTGCAACCCTTTTTCAGGGAGCTGTATCCCTTTTCTTTGGGATAATCCAAAGTGAGTACAGAAAACCAGTGAATGCAATCCAGCTGTGCCTGGCCAGGGAGCACTGCCCCCAACAGCTGCTCTGTGGTCACAGAACTTCAGCTGAGACACTGGAAATCCTCCTGCTGCCTCCAGCCCTGGCCCAGATGGTGTTTTAGAGGTGTCAGGATGTGGGGATGTGGTTTTGGAGTGATTGATGGTTGGGCTGGATGGTCTTCAGTCTCTCTAACCCTGATGATTCTGTGGTTCTGTGGTTGGTTAATGTGACTCCCCAAGGGGTATTTTAACTCCACATCACTCTGCTCCCCTTTCCTTTTCAAAGGAATTTTCTTTTCCTTCTGGATCACTAGTTCAAATCCAGATAAGGTCAGTTGTCATAGAAATTATTAGCAGTACCAGCAGTTCTGTGTAGAACATGAAATGAGTTGGGAGTTTCATTCACACAGGATAAGGGTTCCTAAGTGGCACTAATTGGCTGTCTAATTGTCACACACAGGAGAAAGGCAGAGGATTGATTAGGCGTGGAGACTGAATGCCCCTCTGCCAGCCCGGGCTCCTGGAGCTCATTGCATAGGCATGCTGGCAGGGTAATGAGGGGCAGCCTGCTTTGGATTTGCTGGCTGTCAAGGCAGCATCTTTTCCTGCCAGGCCTTTGCAGGGGCACTTGTTTTACTCCACCAAGGTCAAAGATAGCATCTATAACAAACAGTGCCTTCACTCAAAAATCAGAGACTTGCAGGATTTACTTGTGAGCAGTATATTTTAACTGTTTCCTTTCCTTCCCCCTGAAACACAGTTTTTCTAAAAGGTCTAAAATAGGATGAGTCACACTGGTGTGAGGCAGAACTGCTCCAGCAAAGCAGATGGGGGTTTATGGTGCTCAGAAATCTGTTCATATTTCCTTGTGCTGTCTGGGTGTCTGCTGTGTGATATACAGGCTCCTGGAGGTACTTGTCACAGCATAGGGAAGCTGACATGGTGCACATTTCACTCCTGATAAATGGATCCTCCTATCAAACAGTGAAGCCTCTCACCTGCAAAAATACATTTTGACCAATATCTTTTCCCCTGAGCTATGGCACAGGTCACACCGTGCAATGGAGTTACTTTTAACTTGTAGTAGGTTCACTTTCCCTGGCATAGAACTAAATTATTTAAGTTTGACTCACTGAAGTAGTAAATTTAGGAGTTAATTTGCAATGTGAAAGTCAGGATTACACACAGAGGAAAAGGAAGCCAAAATAACTTGTATATGTTAATGTGTAGACCCAGCTGTGGGACTCAGTAAGTTTACTAAGGCTTAAACCTCAATTAGTGAGGTTAAACCACAATTGCTTTAAACCTTATTGTGCTCACATTTTAATTCCCTTGTTGTATCAGATGAACAGTATTAGTAAGAACTGTGTCTATCCTTTCAACCACAAGCTGATCAGTGCATACAGCACACCAGAATGTAGTGTTAGAGCATTCTATATTTGTGTCAAATATAAGTATTTATTCTCCTCTCCCTCCCTTTGCCCACACCTGGAGCAGAAATAGGACAGAGCCCACGTTTCTGTGTTCTGCTGTGTGCTTCCTGTCTCTGACATACACATCACTCCTGGTCTGCCTTCTTCCTAAAGTCACAATCTCATGCAAATTAATTGAAAACAAATGCAGGTACCAGCTACACATCAAAAAGCTCTGATGCACCTGCCATGTCGTTTTCCTCTCTGCCAGCCTGTGGAAGACGAGCATGTACGAGATCCTTTTGGTTTTTAACCTCACCCTATTCTTAGAATATATTTTCAAAGAAGCGCAGAGCGATCTCTGCACGCTTTCAGACTGTATATTTTGTGATTAGTGCTTCGTAAGTGATGTTTTGCTTAATGATCTAACATCTGCTCTAGGAGGTTTGTTTTTGTAACTTCCCCACCTCCTGCTGAATGAATGCCAGCAACTTGTCCCTTTCCTCCAAGTCAATCAAAGCACTAATTGCATCATAATCATGGGAAGCAGCGGTGACTGCTCAAGTGCTGAAGGCTCAGCAATCAACTCACAACACTCTGCTCACTGTTCAGAGAGAGAAAGCTTCCCTGTGCCGAGCTGGGAATTTCCTGCATGCCACATCTCTTCAGCTGACTCTGACTTTTCTGGGTTGCAGGGAGATGACTGCACCATTCCCTGCATGGCAGGGACCTATGGAACCAATTGCTCCTCGGTCTGTAACTGCAAGAACGATGGCACTTGTTCTCCTGTGGACGGGCTGTGCTACTGCAAAGAAGGTAAACAAAATTCACATTTAACAGCTCCCTGCCAGCCATGCCTGTCCCCTTTGAAAGTGGCACAGCTGTGCAGTCAGGAACTTCACCATTTTCTTATCCTCCCAGGTATCCCAGCTCAACAGGGGCTGGACTGCAAGTCCAGTCTCTGACCTGAACAGGGGCCAGACTTCCCTGCTCTGCTGCAGAAACGTGTCACAGAACTGGGTGTGGGGGCAGAAACACTGCTCCTCTCCAGGGGAAATGCAGAACAATCCTCTGGCTGCTGGGTTGTTACGCCTTTGCTGCCGTGTCTCTCCCAAAGTCACTGGGCACAAGAGTGGAGGCAGCTTCCTGCCTGTGTGTCCTGCAGCCCCTGGCACTGGGCTGTGCCTGGCCTTGGTCATCCCCACCAGCCCTGACCTGACTCCTGCCTGCCCATCTCCACCTTGGGCTGGTCCCATTCCTGCTGCCCTGGGCTCCAGGCTCATCCCAGCTGCCAGCCCTGCCCTTGGGCACTGTGGGGAGGGCCCTGGCTCTCTGCCCTTGCTGCCATCCTCCTGTACCCTGACATGGTGACACCCCAGCCTTGTGCAGATGTCCTCTGTCTCCTGTGCTAGCACAGGGTTCAGGATGTGGCTCTCATTTATTTGGAGCAATAAGAAGTCTTGCCTGCTCCAAGGTGACTGACATGTTTTCTTGCCACACGTGTCCATAATTCCCTCCTGGACGTGGTGGTGAGCACATCCCATGGATCCAGTGACCACCTGAGAACCCTCCCCATGTGCTTCATGGCACAGCAGCTCTTCTGTTCCCCCAAAATCCCAACATGAGCTATGCCTGTATGACATACATAGGCCCTAAAACAGAAGTGAGGCAAATAACCATAAAATCTGGCATTTCAAACATGAATTAATGGATCACTGTAGAACCCCATTTAATGAGGGTGTATAAACCATGAGTTACTGCTCAACTCCATGACACAGAGCTGCAGTGTAATGAAAGTCATTGTGCTCCTGGTAGTTAAGATTTGAGCCTTAATGGCTAGAAATGATGGCATGGGTCTTATTTTAGGTGTAATAGCTGCTTTATATTAAATAGCATTCTCAAAAAAAAAAAGAAAGAAAGAAAGAAAAAAAAGGTGAGAAACAGGCAGCATCACATGGAAAGTTCTTGCAGTCCTGTAGGTCAGAAGGTCTCAAACCTGACAGACAGGTCCCAGCAGTTCCCAGAAAGGCATCAAACTCCTAAATCTGGTTACAGCCAAGGCTGTTATGCCTCCATCTGTGTGTAGAGATGCTGGGAGATGGAGCTGGGAGGTCACAATGAAAGGGTCAGTCTTTGACCCCAAGTTAGTCTTATTTACAACAAGAAACTGTCCTAGAAGCAAAGAACTGCAGCTTGCCAGCTGCCTGTCCCTCTGTTGTCATGAAAACATCCCAGAAACATTTCTCCCCTGTTTCCTTAGGGTGGCAAGGAGTGGATTGCTCTATTCCCTGTTCAAGTGGAAGCTGGGGGCTGAACTGTAACCAGACGTGTTCCTGCAGCAATGGAGCGTCCTGCAGGCCAGCTGATGGCTTCTGCCTCTGCTCCCCAGGATGGCAGGGGGAGTTCTGTGACCAGCCTTGTCCTGTAAGTGCAAATCACAATTTGGGGTGGTCTTCCACCACATTCAATCACAGTCCCCATAGCTCTGCTGAACAGAGAGCAGGGGAGGAGCTCAATTTGTCTGTGATGTCTGAGGAAATCAAGTGTAAATAACAGATTGGGGTTCTAGCAGTCAACTGGATGTATTATCCTTTGCATTGTATTTTATCAGAGCTATTGCTGTGTTATCTGCAGTTTCTTGAATGTCATTTTTTAAAGTGATTCCTCATTTGGTTCTGTATAGAAACATTAGGCACTGAGTTTCTGTCTTCTGTGTATGTTAATTTAAAAAATGCAACTCAGCATTAAGAGGGATGTGATAGATGATTTTGCACATTTCAGAACAAAAAGCTGATCACTGAGAGGATTTTTATTTCTGCTCTTGAAGGATGGAACATATGGCCTTAATTGCAGCGAGCGCTGTGACTGCAACCACGCGGACGGGTGCGATCCTGTCACCGGCTACTGCTGCTGCCTCGCGGGCTGGACAGGTAAACCAGCAACTGCCCTTGTAGACTCTGGGACTTTGCTTCATCTGGGGCTTTGGGGGGTTATGCTGGTTTGCTGTGCTTTGCTTTTGCATCAGTTATAACCCTGGACTTGTGACTGCAAACTTGTAAATAATGGATTGAGACAAGATCAGCTGAACTTGCCCACATTTAAATCACTCGTGATGGTGACAATAATTGGCATTCATTAAATTTGTATTCAGATGAGTTGAAGATGGCTCCAAACCTGCAGCCAGATGTTAGCCTTCTGTAAAAGCATCCTCAGGAGGGATGCAGATCATCCATAATCCTGCAGAGTTTTTCTCCTTGAACTGCCCTTTCCACAGGGTGCAGTTGTGGGACGGTGAATCCCAGGACCATCATACCTGGAATGCAGACAGGGCATATCTGATGAGTCATTAGAGCTGCTCCAACATACAAAACTCTGCATTCCCATTTTCCAATGGTTCTTGTCACAGGGTAGGTGCAGAGAGCAGATTAATGCTGGTGTGACAGAGCTGTTGTGATGACACAGCAACAGAGAGGAATATTCAGTGAAGTTGGAGAGTCCAGGCTGGAGTTCTCAATACAATTAGACCTGCACTTGACTCCACACTGATGTTCTCTTCCCAGCTTTTGACAGCAGTAGGGGACAAGTTACTGACCCAACCATTTCACACTTTGCTGCCTAAAATGCTGGTTAATCTCTTTCTGCTCTCTGTTGAGGCCCTGGGTGGAAATAAAGTTATGGAAATAAAGCTTGTATGGAAATAAAGTCATATACTGCAGAACCACCAGTGGCACTGACAGTCAAAATGCATTTATATTAACAGCAAATCATTTGGAAAATTTAATTGTTTTTCAAACAAGTACAAGTTGAGAGGATACATGAGCAAGGCAGGCTGATCAGGCAGCCAACATTTGGGATAGTGTCACCTTTCCCATTGATTTATGCCCTAAACCACCACACACCTTCTGTTTCTGATGGAGAGGACATCCCACAGCAGCCCAGCTCCCAGGAGCATGAAGCAAAAGCAATGAAATTATGCCTAAAACATACAATGGAGATAATCTTTAAAGAATTTTAAAAAATATTGTGTACAGCAAAGCTACTTTTCTAAGATACTGGGCATGTAACCCTGAAATGGACATTTTCCCCCCAAGAAACTCCATTTTATAAGCTCACTTGCATCCCCTCCTTCATTCTCTTGCCTTCCTCACTGGCTGGCCAGCATTTATCTTTCTCTGAACCTCCTTGCCATCAATATATCCATCTATCAGGCTTTAAAACTCTACTGTTTATTATTGATGATCAGCAGAGAAACAGCTGGTAGATTTTCCTGTAGTTACTGTGAGCTTCTTCAAGGGAAAAAAATGGCTTTTAAAAGTAGAGTAATTTGAAGAGAGATATTTATATACACCTACTCTAAAAGTTCATTACACATCTTCTGGATGTAGCATTCCAGAGGAAACTGCAGGGACTGACCTTTGCAGACAATGCAGACTGAAGGTGTGGCTTTTTCTCAGAGGCATTTGCAGCAAATACTTTGTGCTTATTGCCATGCACATCTGTAAATGGACATCACATGCAGATACTAATTAATTAAAGGTAAGAATAATTTCTGATGTCCTTCTTTTAATTCCTATATTGAGCAAGGTAAGTGTATATTAACTTGGAGGGGGTTTGCTGCAGCCCAAGCACTTCATCCCTCAATGTGCTCCCACAGTTCTGGAATTCTTCTCCTCAGGATCACATTTCAGGAAGGAAAATATTATATCCATATTTGAGACCAGGTTGGAGTTGAAACAGTAACAGGGCTCTGTAAGGTGGAAATGTTGATAGACAGAACCAACACGTGTTTTGTCAATTCTGTTCCAATGTTTTTTCCACTTGGCTTGGCACCAGACACAAGGATAAATTCTGCTCCTACCAGTTTGAAAGTATGTCATTTAAGAAACTCTTCAGCTAGATAATTATATTTTCATATTAAGGAGTATGGCATCAGTGAAAGATTAATCTTATCTGCAGTTGTTGTGAACTGGGCCATGATGTGTATTGCAGTGCATTTTATTAATATGAGGTGATAAATAATTCAGGCTGAAATTTTTGCTTTCTGATTTTGGTACTAATTAGGCATGGCCTGAAAAATATCAGAAAAGTTCAGGATCACGGAACTTCTGAAGGTTCTCCTGCCCACTCACACCAAACAGAAAATTCACGTGGCTTTCTGATCCTAATAGCCACAAACTTCATCTGAAACAGCAAATTCTGTATGTTCATCCCAGACCTGGGACTCCCTCTTGATGTCTGTGTTTTATGTAAAGATCAAGGGGGAGATTGAACCCATTTTCTTTAAAGTGGTTTCAAGATGTTACTGATATAAACCTTCAGGGACTGATAGATGGTAAAAGCATGGAGGAGGACTGGCAAAAGAAGGAAAAAGTCATGTCCAGAGCAGCATGCAATGTAAGGTAATAGCACTCTACCATCCTTTTATTCTGTCATGACTGCCACCCAAGACTATTATTCAGGACAATGACCTTCTGTGGATACCAGCTGGGGGAAGGTAATTTTCAGGAGCTGAGTGTCCCTGGCAGATGGGAAGATGATGAAGAGATCCCCACGTCTCAAGCAGGAGCTCACAAAGCTGTGCAAAGCAGCTGGGAGCATAAATAAGCACAGAGGCAGCAATCTGCACATCCCCTCCCTGTCAGCTCCGTGGGAATGCACCTGTGCAGCCAGAGGCAGGGGCTGGATCAGCTCTGGGGACACTTGTACCTGGTGTCACTGCTGCCAGCCCCCCAGCCAAGTGGCACCTGGTGCCACCAATGGCTTTGGAGATAGCTCAGCAAGAACAGAAGCCCAAAACTACATTGGCAAAATGCTCTCATGTGGTAAAAACAAAGTGAAACTTGTTGAAATGTTGGGCAAAATCAGATCTGTGACCTGCTGATGCCATGCAGAGCTGAATTTCCCTCCACAGGAAGGAAATGTGGGATGCAGTGACACTGAGGGCTCAGCCTTGCACTGGAAGGAGTTCTCCAGGTTGGACATGTGTAACTTCATGTGTACAAATAGTGCCCTGGAAATCCAAACAAGAGGTGTTCATATCTACTGCTGGGTTAAAAAGGAAAGGTCTTGCTCTCAGGGCACCAAGTCTTGATTGCTCAGGCTGTTTTTTAAGGATTAATAAGGCTCTCTTTCCCCACCTTTGCTGTGCATTTTAGGTACAGACACTTCTGTGCTTGCAGCCCTGTGTGTGTGCACAGGTCCCTCAGAGCTCCCAACACACCAGACATTTGTGGAAGAGGTGTTACTTTATGTACACTCAGGTTGAAATGAAAATGCTCAGTGCTAATTACATTTGGTTAATTAGGTTCCTGCACACAATGACTCCACAGAGGGAGTGGAACACAGAAATGCTGCGTGGTAGAGCAGCTCCTGGAAGTCCTTTGCAACAAACAGGTCCTGGAGAAGCAGGATGAGTCTCATCTGTCCCAGGTGCAACCTCCTCTCCTGGATGCTCAAGCAACAAGGTTATTTCAGTTAGGCTCATCTCAATTTCTCTAATCTGAAAGTGGACAGGAAAGGACCAGCTGCCCTGGTGGCCTTGCTGGGTGAGCAGGATGGCAGTGCTGCTGTGGCAGTGTAATGCTGAGCCTCTGGAGGTGACAGCTCCAACTGCATCCCCTGTGGGATGCAGGATGAACTTCAAACCCCCTCAGCTTGGTCCCACCTCAGCCAGCTTTTGTACCAGAAATGGCTTCCTCACAGATTCCAGGGGTTTGAGGCTGTGTAGCCTTTAGCTGCTTCCCTCAGTAATCTTTCAATAATTAAATTAGAGCTGCTGGCCTGTCCTCTGATTTCTGGAGGTGCTTGACCAGATCCAGGTAAGGCTCCCTGGGGAGACAGACCCAGGTATTGCCCATGCTGCCCCCAGGACCCCAGTCCATCCATTTTCCCAGTCCCAGACTGATGCCAGAAGCAGAGCCACAGGCCTGGCTGCTCCTCCAGCTGAGCTCTGCTCCTCCCTGGGATGAGCCAATTGCTCCAGGTTAATTGTGGCAGCGTGTGCTTTGTTACCCTTTCAGCTCTTACACTGGGTTTAAATGGGAAGTGATCTACAGGGGGATAGATTCCACTCCTCTAAATGCTAAGGTCAGTTAAAATCCTGTTTATCTGAATTCCTTTAATCTGAAATGCTGTCTTATCTGCATGTTGTTCTGCCTTTTTTCTTGTGTGGTGCTCTGGTTTTGCAGAGCTGCTGTGGTGATGGTATCTCAGCTCCCCACTGAGCTGGGGTACCCAGAGGCTTCTCTCAGTACCCAAAGCCAGAGTTTATTCACTGTATTTTAACATCCCAAAGATGTGTGGGGAAAATTAGCCTGGTGCTGTAGATATGAGATGGAGAATATAAAAGTGTGCATCCCATAGTTAATCATAAAAGAAGCCCATATAGATTTTCCTTAATTAATCAGGATGGCAAACACAGGTATGCAAATGATGCATGCTGCTGAGGAACAAACATCTTATTACCTTGGTGCTTTATACCTTCAGGCTTCATTCCTGGCTCATAAGAGCTGCCTCCCTCTTTGCTGTGGAAATCAAAATACACATTTCACTGTCCTTTACAACCTCAGTAACCTTCCCACATTGCCAGAACACAGCCCCTGATGGTCCCTGCTCGTGTCCAGCTCCAGCACAGTGGCTGTGGGACTCTGGAGCTGCAGGATTCCCACCTGTGGGCTGGGAGGTGCTGCTGGGCACAGCCCAGGGCAGCTCCAAGGGACCAGGCTGCAGGGCTGGGAACATTTGCAGGCTGGCAGTGGCATCTGCACTGTCACTCAAACACAGAAACATGTTTCTTGCCTCCTGTGGACACATTAATTCAGGAAAACTGATAAGCCTGTTACTCAAGGGAAAGCCTTTTTGAATTTTAAAGGAGCACTGACCACTTTGACGGGGAGCTCTAAGGTATTTTTAACTTCACTTTCTCTAGTTC